TTCCCAATGGTCATGTCCAATGCCAACGACCGCCCCCGCGTGCTTCACGCACGCACACACGCACGCACGCATGCGTACCTACGGCCCTCGCCGAACACGCACTCCTCACGTATCCGCAAACGCGCACTGTGGTTTTAGTACGTAATACATATACAAACATATAATACGTATACACGATCGATAGTAAACTGATAACCGCGATTGATAACCGTACGCGTATGCGATGCGTGCGATAACGAGGCGCATTTGACGAATAGGACACTCCTTGTTTAAAATCTAAATCGGACGGCGTGTTTTCTTTCCAAGCTTCAAATTATGTACATCGTCCCATGCGAACGTCCAATGCGTTTTCAGATCGAGATTCTGCCGAGAGGGGGAGAGGGGGGGGGGGTTGACCTAAAATTACCATGAAGATTAAATCTTCAGTACCCATTTGCATCTCTCTTATCGAGGGCTCTTAATAAACTGCTCGAAGGCGAAGTCGATGCTCGAGATCTTTTTAAGGAAAGATCATTCCTCTCACGTGAGTCGTTATTACGAATGAGTCCGATGTCTCTTACCAAACTCTGTCTCTGTATAAATATTTCCCTAAACTAGATCAATGTCACCGTCTAATTCGAAAAATTCAAAACGTATCTACGCGGACAGTTATTTCATCCACGAGCAAAGTGGATAGAGCTGGCGCGTAAACGAGAATCTCTCTCTGTGTCTCTCTCTCTCTCGGCAATCATCCTGGCACGTTGTTGACGTCGAGAACGGTGGACAATTATAATTTCGGTCGATTTAATTGCCAATGCTCTATGCAGCATCAGCGGCGTGGACGGGCCGCGAAATCAGACGAAATGTTCGCGAGCAAAAACTGGAATCAACACCGGAATTGGATCTTTCGACGAAATGAGACAAGTTCCATCCGTTTAGTCACAGGCGAGTTATCTCGTTGAGTGGAACAATGGCACTAGTCACGCTTTCCACGTCTCAAGAAACGAATAGTCAAGCGAAGATATCGCAGCTTTGCTTTGTACGATTTTTTTTTCAAGGAAGATTTAAAAAATGAATAAAAAGTTGAGTCTTTGAGTCTCTCGAATTCAGATATGTAGCCAATTTCGAAATTTAGAATTTTAAGTTCTTCTGAAGCTTTTAGATCGTACCCGCCAAACATCAAAGCTTTGTAAATTTCTTCTGAGTATTTAAGCAAAAGTTAATTCTCTGAACGGTAATCTTTTCAATTTGCATTAATTCTTGTAGAAAGAAACTTGTGTAATGGAGCATAAACTAATAGTATATTTAAAACTTAAATTATGTTTAAATAATGTTTATTTATTATTATTAATATACATAATTATCTTTATCCTTTTCATATTTTTTAAATTATTCGATATCTGCAATTCAGTCTTCCTACAAATTATTATTATTATTATATTTTATATTTATTTTATTATCATTACATTACTACAATTATTATTGTATTTTTTCTGTTCTAGCGGTTGCTTTCAAAAATATTTACGATCAAAAGTTTCTGTCATCAATTAGGGAAAAAAATATCAATTACAGACATTTTTATAAAAAAATATTCCTTTGCCGCGTTTCGTAATAGAAACGCCACAGGCTCGGAAAATCTCCGAATCTCGCATTGCTGCCCGACGAATTGCAGCCGCGCGTCCAATCGATCGCACGGCGCGCGATTTTCCACGTGCTCTTTCGCGACTCTTTCTTTTATTAAAATAATTCTCTCTCTCTCTCTCTCTCTCCTTCTTTACAACAATACGCGAT